TTTTGGGCGAAAATCAACCTCGACTTACAATCGAGGCCATGAGTCTCTATGGTTATCACTTTTTCCATGAGGTAGGTCCCAAAAATCTCAAACCAAGGATTATAATTTTTCTATAGATTTTTTAACGCTCGTTCACACCAGCCCTTCTAGGAACTCGAAAGCCTCGCATCCAACATCATCTCAAAAAACTAAAAAACTTTATTTTTAGGCGTAAACGTCATTTTTGTTTTGCAAAAATCATCTTGGATCGGGGCCAAAGGCCATGAGTTTTTATCATTGGTTCGTTTGGCATCGAACTAAGTCTAAAACTACTCAAAACTTGGTTGACCATTTTTGGGAAAAAATCAACCTCAACTCACAGTCGAGGCCGTCGAGTCTCTAGGGAGAGAGAGAGAGGAAGAGAGAGGGGAGAGAGGGATAGTGAAAGAGGGAGAGCTAGGGTACGAGAGGAGGTAAAGAACAACGAAAATAGGGAGAGTGGTGAGGGAGAGTGTATGAGTGAGAGGGAAGGAGATGGAGAGATAGATAACAAGAGGTAGAGGGAGGAAAATGGAGAGAGAAGAAGAGGGAGAGAGAGAATAGTTGAGGTCGAGACAGAGAAAGAAAGAGAGAAAGAGATGGAGGGAGAGAGAGAAAGGATGGGATAAATAGGGAGAGAGGAGAGAATGAGAGAGAGTAGGAAATGGGGAGAGAGAGAGGGAGAGAGATAGGGAAAGTGGAGGGAAAGCGAGAGGAGAGAGAGAGGGAGATAGGGAAAAGAGAAAAACCAAGTGATAAAGAGGGAAAGAGGGAGAAAGAGGGGGAGAGAGAAAGAGAGAGGAAGGGAGGAAGAGTAAGGAAGAGGGGGACCGAGATAGGGAGAGGGAGTGACGTAGAGAGGGAGAGAGAGGGAGAGAGTGAGAGATCGAGAGAAAGGGAGGAGGGAGAGAGTGAGAGATCGAGAGAAAGGGAGGAGGGAGAGAGTGAGAGATCGAGAGAAAGGGAGGAGGGAGAGAGGGGGAGAGAGGAGAGAGAGGGAGAGAATGAGAGAGGAAGAGAGGGAGAGAGTGAGAGAGATAGAGGGGGATGGAGAGGGAGGGAGGGAAGGAGAAAGAAAGAGATAGAGAGAAAAAGAGAGAGATGGGGAGGGATAGAGAGGGAGAGAATGGGGAAGGGGAGAGAGAGAGGGGAAGTGAGAGGGGTAGGTAGAGGAAGAGGGAGAGAATGGGAGAGAGTGAGAGAGAGGAAGGGAAAGAGGGAGAGGGAGATGGAGAGGGAGTGGGATTGAGGCGGATGGAATGAGATAGAGAGAGAGGGAGAGGACGAAAGAGAGATTAGGAGAGAGGGAGAGAGAAAATGAGGGAGAAAGGGTGATAAGCACCAAATTATTCATAATTTTAGTGTCAAAATTTCCTATATTTCAATTACCTTTGGTGATAAATGGTACAAGTTTGGCACTTATCATGTCTAAATTATGTTACGTAGGTCGTACTACATTATTTTGATAAAAAGGAATGGAAACAAAGCAAGAAGGAGAAAACTTTAATGAGTTTCGAATGTCAAATGAGTTACACGGATAGGGACACAGCCGTGTAACTAGAAAAGAGATTATACATAAAATAGAGAGTTACACGGCCCAATACATGACCGTGTACTAGGTCGTGTAACCGTCTCGTTTCGAGAAAAATTACATCTATACTACACGGATAAAGACACGATCATGTACTTGGTCGTGTCTTATGAAACACGATATTTTACTCCTATTTAATCAAAAACTCGACCTAGGAAAAGGGAGGGCGGAAGGACTCGTTGAAAAGGATGAAAAGAACTAGGGTTTTTTAGCAAGATAATGCCGTTGGGGTGAATTCTCATACATTTTAAAGGAGATTGCATCAAGATCAAAAGGGTTAAAATGCCTTCCTTTAATCCGAATTGTTTTCTCGTTTAAGATTTATGTATTCTTTGTTTTGATCATGAACTAAATCATGTTCGTACCTAGATACGATGAACCCTAAGATTGATTATGTAATTTGATATCTTCATTCAATTCAATCATTATTTTTATTGTGATTCAGTTATGTCACTTTTAGTATTAATTTGAGTTAACATAAGCTAGCATGTTGATTCACATCCGATTTCATACTCGTGAGACCGAAAAGTCCTAATTATGATTAGATTAACCATGAGTGGAAGGAGTTGCATGCAATCCTATAGATAGGACAACATAAACCCTCCGGATTAGAGTCAAATCTAATAAAGGGATTCATAGAATGAATTAACGCGATCTTGGGGGTGTTAATTAGAAAGAGATTTCAATGACTCAACCGGGATTAGGTGTTATTTAACTTGAAAAAGTTCTTAGCATAATTCGAGAATTCCTACGGTCCAATGAATATAAAAAATGATTGAATAAAAGATATCGTGACTACATAGAAGATCTACGAGGGATTTGCTATCCGGGTACTACCTTCACCATTGATTGCTCATCTAGTTATTATCGTTATTCTCATTGCAATTTTGCTTTAATTATCGAGTACTTTTATTTGATTCATTATCACTATAATTCATCGGTTAGATAATAAATAAGAAGTAATTACTAGTACTCTTAGTCTCCGTGGGATCGACACTCGATACTCGTCAATTATACTATAGAACGATAGGTGCACTTGCCTAAAGTCTATAGGTTAAGAAATGGGCTATCAAGTTTTTGGCACCGTTGCTAGGGACTAGGATATTAGGAAAACTTTATATTTTATTAATCTAGCCATTTTATTTATTTATTTATTTATTTTTATATAATATTTAGTTTTGTTTTTCTTTATCATATTTTCTTTGAATTACACTTTTCTTTGTTCGTGCCACTTTTTCGAGAGCCGAGTTAGTGTATGACTCACAACAACTCGATCGAATTAATTGAGCCGGATCCCGAAATAGAAAGAACAATTCTTTGAAACCTCGGGAATTGATTTAGACAAAGAGAAGAAGAGTTAGATAGGGAAAGAGAAGAAGAACATCGGAGGGAAGGAGAACTGCAGATAGTCATGGCCGAGGAAGAAAGAACCGTGTTTGATTATGCTAGACCAAATTTGACGAGAGCAGAGTCTAGCATTGTCGAGCCAATCTGTTACGGACAACAACTTTGAGATCAAACCGAACATCATCCAAATGGTGCAATAATTTGTGCAATTTGATGGGTTGCAAGACGAAGATCCGAATGCTCACTTGGCCAACTTTTTGGAAATCTGCAAAACATTCAAGATCAATGAGGCTACGGATGACGCCATCGGATTGAGGTTGTTCCCATTCTCATTGAGGAGTAGAGCTAAGCGAGTGGTTGAACTCTCTACCTTAGGGAACTATTACTACCCGGAGCCAAATGGCGAGAGAAGTTCCTAGCAAAATACTTCCCACCTACAAAGACTGCAAAGCTCGGGAATGATATCTCCTCATTTGCGCGATTGAGTCAAAGACGCTTTATGACACGTGAGAGCGGTTTAAGGATTTGTTAAGGAGATGCCCACACCATGGCACACCTACATGGATGAAAGTTCATACTTTCTACAATGGTCCGAATCTAGCTACTAGGCGAGATGATAGATGCAAGAACTGGAGGCACTCGAATAACAAAACACCCGATGCAGCTCAAGAATTGATAGAGCAAATGGCTATGAATAACTACCGAGTGGGGCACAACTAGAACAAAACCAAATAAACCAAGTAGGTGTTTATAATATAGATGCGATCACAACTCTAGCAGGCTCCGAGTAAGAAGATGGATGGTCTATCGGTAGTACAACAACCGGTTCAAGTTATGTAGTGTGAGTTATGTGGAGAAGGACATTCGAGTCATGATTACAAGGGGGTAGTTAATTACATGGGTAATGCTCATCGTACTTAAAACAACCCATACAAGTAATGTTTACAATCCAGAGTTGGAGAAATCATACTAATTTCTCTTGGGGAGGTCAAGGACAACAAAGACGGAATCATCCGCTCGGATTTCAGCAGCAGAACTCATCTTAGGAGAAGAAGCCTAGTTTGGAAGAACTTATGACTAAGTTCATTCAAACATCCGATTCTCGGTTTTAGGCAATTGAAACGAGCATTGAGAAACCAAGAGGCTTCTATCCACAACCTTAAGAAGCAAATTGGGCAACTTGCCAAGTCCTTTTTGAGAGGCAACAAGGTAGTCCGCTCGGTAATACTAAGACTAATCCCGAGAGAACATGTGAAGGTAGTCTCTTTTAGATGTGGAAAGGAATTACGAATGGAGGAGAAGAAAGGTGAAGAAGAGAAAATAGTCAAAAAGAGTAAAGAGACGAAAATAGTTAGTGAGTAACCTCTACCAGGTGAAAGACTTCAAACCTACCGTTCCATATCCCGAAAAGCTATGAAAGGACCGTATGGATGAATAGTTTGGTAAATTTCTCAAACTTTTTAAACAATTTGCATATAAATATACCTTTTGTTGAAGCTCTTTCGCAGATGCCAAAGTATGCTAGATTTTTGAAAGAACTTTCAAATAAGAGGAAGTTGGAAGAGTCGTCAATAGTGGAATTGAGTGAGGAGTGCTCTGCTATCCCGCAAAACAAGCTACCTCAAAAATTACAAGACTCGGGGAGTTTTACTATTCCTTACTCATTTGGTAGTTTTTTAGTTGAAAAGGCATTAGCCGACCTTGGGGCCAAATTAAATTTAATGCCTTATAAAATGTTTAAGAAACTAGGGTTGGGAGAACCTAAACCGACAAGAATGAGCTTACGGTTAGCGAGATAGATCCGTTAAATACCCTAGAGGTAAAATTGAAGATGTGTTGGTTAAGGTAGATAAATTTATTTTTTCGATTGACTTTGTGATACTTGATATGTATGAGGATGTAGAAGTATCATTAATCCTAAGACGACCATTTTTAGCTACGGCTAGAGCCATTATTGATGTTAGTGATGGTAAGCTTGTTCTTAGGGTCGAGGATGAAGAGGTAACTTCTCTCATATCAAAATCTATGAGACATTCCCTTGAACATGATGACAAATGTTATTTCATCGATGCTATTGACACCTGCAGCTTTAGAATCCGTGCAAGAAATTATATATGATGATCCGTTGGAACTGTGTATCATTCAAGGTGAGGAAAATGATGGGGATGACCCCATTAGAGTTGAGCAAGTAGCTCATCTAGAAGCTACCGAGTTCATGATTTGGAAGAAGAAGTTTGAGGAGATTGATAGAGGTAAGGAAAAGAGATAAAAACCCTCTATTGAGGATCCATCTAGTTTGGAATTGAAAACTTTACTTGGAACACTTAGAATATGCATTTCTTGAAAAAGATTCAAAGTTATTGGTAATAATTTCTTCCAAGCTAAAGGTGGATCAAAAGAAAAAGTCGTTAGATGTTCTTAGAGAGCATAAGAGGGCTATCGCTTGGAAAATTTTAGACATTAAAGGAATTAGCCCCTCTTTTTGTACTCATAAAATCTTGATGGAGGATGATTTTAAGCCGGTGGTGCAACCTCAAAGGAGGCTTAATCCAAATACGAAGGAAGTTATGAAAACCGAGGTAATTAAACTTCTCGATGCGGTAATGATTTACCCAATTTCGATAGTTCTTGGGTGAGCCCTATGTAGGTTGTTCCAAAGAAAGGAGGGATGATAGTGGTCGCAAATGAAAAAAATGAGCTGATTCCAACAAGAACGATCACCGAATGGAGAGTGTGCATCGACTATAGAAAGTTGAATGATGCCACTCGGAAGGACCATTTTCCTCTCCCATTTATTGATCGGATGTCTGGAACGACTAGCGGGACACATGTATTACTTGTTTCTTAGATGGTCTTTTGGGCTACTTTCGGATCCCTATAACCCTAGAAGACTAAGAAAAGACTACATTCATGTGTCCCTATGGCACATTCGCCTACATAAGGATGCCATTCGGGTTGTGCAATGCACTCGCTACGTTTCGGAGGTGCATGATGGCCATTTTTGATGATCCGGTGGAGAACATAATAGAGGTATTTATGGATGATTTTTCTATTTTCGGTGATTCTTTTGATTTATGTCTCCATAATTTGAAAAGAGTGCTTGAACGGTGTGAAGAAGCTAATGCGGTTTTAAATTGGGAAAAATGTCATTTTATGGTATAAGAGGGTATAGTCTTAGGCCATAAAATCTCTTATAGGGGGATTGAGGTAGATAGAGCAACAATTAAAACTATTGAAAAACTACCTCCCCAACTTCGATTAAGGCTATTAGAAGTTTTTTGGGTCATGCGGGCTTTTATAGAAGATTCATAAAAGACTTTTCTAAAATTTCTAGGCCTTTAACCAAGTTGCTTGAGAAAGATGTGGTTTTTGTTTTCGAAGAGAAGTATTTAAATGCTTTTAACACTCGAAAGAAAAATTGATTAATGCCCCAATAATGGTTACCCTGCATTGGAATCTTCCCTTTGAAATAATGTGTGATGCTAGTGATTTTGTAGTTGGTGCGGTTCTTAAACAGTGCGAGAGATAAACATTTTCAACCCATTTACTATGCTAGCAAGACTTTGATCGATGTACGGGAGAATTATACTACTACGGAAAAAGAATTGCTAGTCGTAGTTTTTGCATTTGATAAATTTAGATCTTACTTAGTCCTATCCAAGATTTTTGTTTACACCGATCATTCTACACTCGAGATATCCGTTGAACAAGGCAAATGCTAAACCTAGGTTGATTAGGTGGATCTTGCTTGTTGCAAGAATTTGATTTAGAAATCAAAGATAAAAAAGGAGCCGAGAACTTGGCCTCGGACCATCCGTCTCGATTAGAGAACCCTCATTTAGAGAAACTTGATGAAGAAGAGATCAATGATGCGTTCCCGGAAGAGCGCTTTATAGCATTAAATAGGTAAGTGAGCTTGAAACCCCATGGTTTGCTGATATCGCTAATTATTTGGCTACTAAGATCCTTCCTAAGGGACTCACTCATCGACGAAAAGAAGAAATTCTTTTATGAATTGAAGAACTACCTTCGGGAGGATCCATATTTGTTTAAGATCCGTGCGGACCAAATTATTAGGAGATGTGTGTCCTACTTAGAGGGATGGAAAATCCTAGATCATTGTAATTCGGGACCCACCGGTGGACACTACCATGCAAACAAGACGGCTCGAAAAGTGCTCGAGTTAGGTTGTTATTGGCCTACATTATTTCGGGATGCCCAACGGTATGTGAAATCATGTGATAATTGTCAACAATCGTGTAACATCTCTCGATGTGATGAAATGCCCTAAAACTATATACTTGGTTTGTGAAATTTTTGATATTTGGGGCATTGACTTCATGGGTCCTTTTCCTTTTTTGAATGGTCATAAATACATTTTTGTGGCAATTGATTATGTGTCTAAATGGGTTGAAGCTCGGGCTTTACACATTAATGATGCTAGGGTGGTGGTAAAGTTTTTGAAAAAGTTGTTTTCACAATTTGGTTCACCCAAAGCAATTATAAGTGATAGGGGCACACACATTTGTAACACTCAATTTTCTAGGGTGCTTATGAAGTATGGTGTTACACATAGAGTAGCTACCTCTTACCATCCACAAACAAGTGGCCAAGTCGAAGTAGCTAATAGGGAACTAAAAACGATTCTAGAAAAGACCATAGAGCACCATAAAAAGGATTGGTCGGAAAAGCTAGACAATGTTGTATGGGCTTATAGAATAGCATACAAAACACCTATAGGCACCATACCTTATAGGTTAGTGTATGGTAAGGCATGCCACTTACCGATCGAACTTGAACATAAAGCATTTTGGGCAATCAAGTCCGTCAATTTTAACCTTTATCTTATAGGAGAAAAAAAAACTTCAAGTCAATGAGCTTGAAGAATGGTGTTTGGTAGCCTATGAGAATGTGAAGTTGTATAAAGAAAGGGCCAAGCGATATCATGATCGCAACATTAAGCAACTCAAACTTTTCAAGGAGGGAGATCAAGTACTTTTGTATAACTCCCGTCTTTGATTGTTCCCCGGTAAGCTTAAATCTCGTTGGTTGGGATCGTTCACGATAAGATAACTCTTTCCCTATGGAACCATAGAAATCACACATCCGAATAAAGGTACGTTTAAGGTAAATGGTCATCGATTGAAGTTATATCTCGGAGGGGATATTGACAAACTTGGTAGAGAGGAGTGCAATGTCCAACCCATAGAACCATGAACTTAAAGAACGTCAAGCTAAAGATGTTAAACAAGTGCTTCTTTGGAGGCAACCCAAGTTTATTTTTCAATATTGTGTTACTTCATTTCTCCTAAATATATATATATATATATATATATATATTGGTGAGACGAACGTTACACGGGATAAGACACGACCGTGTCTCTACCCGTGTAACAATCTGTCTACTTTGGGGTTCAATCGAAAGACACGGCCGTGTCTAAGCTCGTGTAGTTGTCTCGTTTGGTTTTGGTGTTCATTAGAAAGACACGACTAAATACATGGGTGTGTAGTTAGCCCGTGTAACCTTTTGTCACGATTTGGTGTGCATTGGAAAGAAACGGCTCAATACACGAGCGTGTAGTTAGCTCGTGTAACCATCTATCGCGTTTTGGTTTAATCCGGAAAGACACGACCTAAGACATGGCCGTGTAGTAGCCCGTATAATGGCCTTTTAAGGCATGGCGTCGACGAGCAGGGTTTATATTCTCTTTCAAAACCGCTCTTGTCTTTCAAAACCACACGGTTTTGTGCTCGAATCAAAACCCTTCTCCCTTACTTCCCCAACCACGACCCATCTCCACCTCATCGCCACCACCACTCATTGACCTCTAGTTATCACAAGCACATATCTATTTACCATTACTCGGCCTCTACTCTAATCTCTCGTGACCCCAATCAGGTTTAATCTCTAAAACCTTTATTTTTAGTCTCTGAATCAAAATGGGTTTTGATAATTTTCCATATGTTTGGTTGTGTTGCTGAGTATGAGAGAAATTAAGGCCATAGATGTGTGATTCCATTTGTAATTTCGGTGTTGGGGTTTATTTTATTCTAGATGTTTGGTTTTTAAACAATCTGGTATTTGATTCATTGTTGTGTTGTTGAAGCATGTGTTGGCTAGTAGTTTTAGATAGTATTCGGTGTGTAAATATCATTGCATGGGTTATGGTAAATAATGCACATAAGTGTAGAATTATTGTTTAACACAATCGCACACTACCCGTTCGATGAATTGCATGTGAGGGATGTGATTGATGAATATGCTTAGCACGAGTGCCAAGGATATGATTTTTGAAGTTTCCATTTGTTATATTTGGATTGGATTCATTATTTGTCTAGTTGCCATTGTTATAAAAAATTATCTCGTTGATCCAATTCCGAATGTCAATAGGAAGATCGCCCATATTAGGAATTAATGCTTAACAATCTTCCCGTTATGCATTATCCGACGAAATTGTTTGATGTCATTCGGTTTTCATGTGTTGTTAAATAGATTTGAAAAACCTTCTTGTTGAAGCTTGATAGACACAAGAGAATGACAAGAACTCCGAAGAGACCTCGGTAAAGGAAGAGGCGAGTGAGATGAGGGCTCATCTAGCTAGCCCCCGAGACAGATTTCACCTCAACAAGAACCCCCGACCACCACCTAGGCGACGGATACCGAAATTATCTAGAGCCGAGAAAGATCGATATGAGTTGTTATAGGGAAAACCCTTTTAGAGTCTGCAGATGTATAGATTGGGGGGCTCTATAAATGTTATGGTTAGAGCGGGAAGTCCGGGCTTGATCTCTACCGGGAGTTAGGATAGATTCTTTGGGATTCAGCCCATTGCTTACCGAGATCCGACATTAGAGGTGCTTTTAACCTTCACAATACGGGGTAAGCTTCGGGGCATGGATATTGATGATGTACTCCAGTTCAAATTGAATGGGAAGTCGATACAAATGAGTTACACTACCTTCTCCATCCACATGGGTATTTACTCTTAGGAGTTTGTAGCAAGCCAAGAATATTACGAGTTGAAAATGGCTTTACCAATGAACGTCGGTTATGCAGATATCGGAGATGCATTAGCCATGAGTCGCGAGTACAACCCTAGCAAATCAAAGAGCACTCGCTCCGAAATCTCCCGCATTGAGATACCTCCACAGGCTATTAGCCCTATCACTTAATGCTAGGAAGGATAGTCCGGGAGTAGAAGGTTTGCGGGATCTACTATGCCTCGTATAGTATGTCGGAGCGCTACCCCATCCATATTGGGTTCTTTC